TACCCTACCGGACCCTACCCTACCCTACTGAAGAGCTAGCCGCAAAAATCGGGTAAGAATGCGGAATAGTTTTTTGTCTTCCGACAATTTTTGGGTAAGAATGCGGAATAGTCATCAATTTTCTGTATTCCTACCCTACCCTACCCTACCCGCAATAATTTTAAATATATATATATATATATAAACTAAAAAAACCCTAATCTATTGAGTCCTAATAGCGTTTGCGCCTCACATCTTACTCGGTCACTCCACTTCTCCTCCTTTATCGTTCCAGAATTTCCACCCAAGTTCTCTCTCTCTCTCTCTCTCTCTGGTGTGGTCTGGCTTGGAAGGTCTAATCGCAGACCTTCATTTACAGTAATAGATCGGTGTCGCTGTGTACGATCTGGTCATGAGTTGCAGATCAATACGCGATCTGATCGTGTCTGATCTGAGTTGCAAATTCATGAGTTTTTATCCTATGTTACAGATCGTGATGGCCTAGTCTTTGTTCCTATGTTGCAGATCTGGCTATTGCCATTTGTTTGTGTATACTTACGAGTGAACCTAAATATGGCCTCTGGTTGGATGTTGTTTGCATATGTCTTTCTTTTTTAAGGGCGGACACCACCTCTCTCTCTCAAATATATTTCTTTTTGGATGGTGTCGGTATGGTTGGTGGTGTTTTGTTGGAAAGGCCTTGGAACCAAGGCTAGTGATGATGCACAAAACTAAATAAATGGGTTGTTTGTGCCAGCAGTAACTTTAATTTCGGTTTGTTATTCATCGCAATATAGACTATTGTGAGAAACCGACTACTGTTATTCATCGCAATATAAACTATACCTTTAATTTCGTTGCTTGGCTTCTTGTCTAGTATATGTTAGCTAATCTGACTACTGTGAGAAACTGTATGTTTTCAGGAATGAGGAGTTGCCTTGCTCTCAAATGTTTACCCGACTTCCTATCCGATTAATCGGGTAGGAATACCACACCTGTCGGGTAGGGTAGGCCAAGAAAAAACTCTTCCATAAAGTATTGGGTAAGAAGACGGAAGAGTATATTTCCTACCCGTAGGGTAGGATGAACACCCCTAAATCTGTCCAACCTATCCATAAATAAATGGGTTAGGTAACTATATTAATTAATATGAGTTTTAAATGAGTTAGACAATATGATTCATTTTAATTAAGTGGGTTAATATGAATTATAAATGGGTACCCATTGGGTTGATTATTTATCTTTCTATTAAATAACACAAGTAATAAAATTAAATAAATATAATAATATACCAAAAAATACACACACTAATATACTAAATATACGCATATATATACTAATACATCAAAATACACACACACTAGCATACCAAAAACACCACCCATGACCACGCGGTCGACTTGCAACCTGTGACCCATAGGTTGGCCTGCTATCCATGGGCCGACCCATGACCCGTGGATCAACTTGTGGCCCACAATCGACCCCGACTTATTATGTGTGTGTGTATTTTTTTTATTACATGTGTTTTAATTTTTGTATTAGTGTATGTTTGTGTATTTTTGGTATATTAATGTGTGTTTAATGTACTAATAGGTGCACACGTGTGTTGCACGTGAATAATATTAAATTATTCGTTGTTAACATTTTATGTTATCATTTTGCAAGTTCATGTTTATATTTTGACTCATGAGATTTGAACGAAAAATGAAAGAGTTGAACAAATATACTAAGATTTGAAAGACAATATTAGTTCATGGTTGAGTGACTATAAGAGACGGAGGATGGATGAATTAAAGGGAAGAAGTAGTTGTTCTCCAACGATCTGTACATAGCCCCAGTTAGCAGGTGTCATAAAATTGCATAGGTGAAAATTTCAGTGCTAAAAGTACACATATTTGCAACATATAACCAGCATGGTCATGATTTTTCTCTTTTACAGTTGAGCTGCATGAAATGCATGCATCATTATCATGTCCACTGAATTGAATTGAATTAAATTAATTGTCATTATAATTCTGTGTAAATTGCCTAGACATGCCTAGACATGGTATTAACAAAATTGATAGTCTAGCACATCAAAAGTAACTTAAAGAAAAGCAAACTAACATGCACACATCGTAAACCCACTAAAATTTATCAAATCATCATTGACCCAACAACAAGATCAATAGAAAACCCTAAAAAAAAAACTACTGAATCAATAGAAGGGTGAAGAACAACTAAAATTACCTAAATCACTCAAGGTCCAAAAGAACTCATTCAGGGTCTTGCTTATGCTTCTTTGCTTAGTGCTTGTTAGATTCGCTTTTTATCTTAATTTCCATGCACTTCTCCATCTTTTTTCCCTTGGATTTTCTAGTAGAAAAGATAGATAATGTCATTGTATCTAACTTAAAAAGAACTTCTTATGATCAAAAAGAAAAGCCTTAAAAAGAACTTCATGATTGTAGCCTAAGACACAAATATAGATACACCACCATTATTTACGTACGGCTTAATCTATAATACAAAACATAACAAGTTTCAATAAACTCATCCAATAGTCTCAAATAGATCATCCAATAGTTATCAACATCCCTCTCAAAACTATTCACATTAAATTTTTCTTCCCCTCCAAATTTATCACTTCTCACTTATGTTTCACCGTGTCTTCAGACACAGATTACTCCTAGTTTGTCTATAAATATAGACACACAAATACATATATATATATATATATATATATATATATATATATATATATATATATATATATATATATATATATAATCTCTCATTGAAATCTAAGCTTTATAGAATTAAAGTCCAAATCATTTTGAGCATATACAAAGATTAAAGGCGGCAATAATTGTGGGTATGGTCCCCAACAACCACATAAAACAACTAGGAAGTTGTTAATCTTTAATGTCGTTGATTCAAACTTGTCACCTTCTCTCCGTAATAGTTTTTGATAAAAAAAAAAATAGAAAATATGGTAGTTGGATTAGGGTAATGGAATAAAAAATTCAATTCATTTCAGGAGATTTAATGATTCAAGACAATAATAATTATGGATTAGGCCGAAAAACAATATAATAGATAAAGAATTCATTTGCATATGTAAGGCATAAAAAAATTCTTAATAAGTCCATCTGTTTACCAACAAATAAAAAAGACTTGGAAAGAAACAAATTATAAGAAAAGACTTGGTGAGGTTGTTCTTTTCTTAACCTAATCCTTTGATATTAAATTATCCAAGTCAATTTTGAATTTTTTTATGGTTGTTAGATCAACCAGGTTTTTTTTTTAATCCCCAAAAAAAGGTAATTTTTCGAATTTTCCTTGGGTACCATTCATAGTTTGTTTGGAGGGGGAAGCGGGGGAGAGGGAGGTGACAAAGTTTGAACCCGTAATCACTTGCGGGCGAGAGTAAACTCTTTTCAGTGAGCCTCTCCCCCATCTCCCATAAATACTCTTCAATTCGTATACAATAGGATTAATAAAATTGTCGAATTAGTGTCAAGATATTTGTCACGTTTAATAAAATAGATTAAGTTATTATTAATAAAAAAATTTTTACTCAAAATAGCATGACATGAATATGATACTATGTAGTCTAGATGCTAGTATGTATATATATATATATATATATATATATATAACAACATATATATATATATAACAACCATACTTGCATTAATAAGGATGCACAAGGATATACCCAAAAATTTTATTGGTAAGCGTAGCCTTCGAGTAATAGAATATATATGTGTATGTGTGTGAGTGTGAGTGTGTGTGTGTGTAAAGTTACAAGGATTTGAAGCATAGTATCAATCCTACCTTGTGATGAGTCTGCAAATTGAGAGGAAAGAGTACCGAGAAAACTCTTTGTCTTTGTCTTTCTTTCATTTTAGTTTGTTGATCTATCACTCTTTATCACATACTGGTAACATTCCGAGTTATAGCGATCCAATGTTTTCCTTCCCCATATATTAGGGACATGAGTGATAAAGGAGTTGATGTGACGAAGTTATAGCAGAAGATTAGAAGAATAAGGAGCCAATTTTTAAACTATATGCAAAGTTATTGAATTTGGGAAAAGAATCTAAAGAGTTGAAATGACTAACATTAACTAAAGAGATAAAGAATTGTAACTGCCAAAAAGACAATTATTTATGTAAAACCAAAAGACATTTTCCTTAATGAAGGAACTTGGGTAGGTTATCTGTCACTCAGATATAACCTCAAATTGTATGATGCTAACAAAAAACATTAACTAAAATAATCATCAACTAATAGATATGCCCTATTAGATTGCATATATTGCATCTGTTGAGTTTAATACATAATTGTGCTATTATGTCTAATCACCCTCACATTTCTACTATTAATGGAGTACAAATGACATAATTCCTAATATTAATAGAATTGTTAATTGATGTTATGAAGAGTAGTGTTGTGTTTATATAATTGTTTAAAAGTATAATAGTCATTCAAAAGTTTTTCTTAGATCTTTGCATTTAGAAATAGTATAAATTAGTGTGTATATTTTTAGTGTATTTGTTTATATGTTTTGGCGTATTAGTCTGTTTTTGTATTTTGGTATACTACTAATATGTGTGTTTTTGGTGTACTAATGTGTGTATATTAAGAATTTTAATTTTTTTATGGGTTAATGAATTTAACCTAATCTATTATAAACTCAACTCATTTAATACATGAGTGAAAAATCAATTAAATTTATTTTAACCTAAACCAATTTAACCCAAGTCACCCATTCACCACCATTCATATATCTTATACTTCTCTCTCATAATTAATTATTTTCTTGATATTTTTAATCAGTCTAACATTACTCTTTTTCTTTTCCTGTAAGCCCCAATGGGCTACATTTACCACATAAACGAAATGCCAAAATTTGATTTGTTGTACCTAAAATCATGGGTTAGACAGTCAAAGTTAATTTTCAAGTGGCCCCACTTTTTTGCGCCATTGGCATAAATTTCCAATTATAAATACCTGATCGAAGAAAACGTTTGCAGGACAGAGCAAAGAACAGCAGTGTTTGCAGGTAAATGTGCCGCAATTGCTCTCTCTCTCTCTCTCTCTCTCTCTCCCCTCTCATCTGGTTACCAATTTCATTCAAAGAACCTTTCTTCACCATTTTTCATAGGATATTTTTCATATTTACTTGAGCCCAATCGTTCATTTAGGGGTTTTTGTATGATTTTTTCGAGTCATTTATAATTTTGGGGGTTTTGCAACGTATCTAAAAAATTTGTGATCGACTCTAATTTTTTTGGATAGATACAAAACATTTAGAGGTTGAACTGTACAGCTGGTGTGGTCATTTGTGCCTGAATAGTGTTTGAATTTGTGACTGCAGAGAAGGCATTGGATTATGGCGTCTGAATCCTCCAACGATACGGAAATTACTTCCATTTTCAGTTCGATCTCCGGCGAGTACCGATGGGTCCATCAAATGGAGGAGAAGTTCAAAAAAGAGCTCAAGATTGACATCAAGTGCGACTTACCTTGCATCTCTCGAGTGCCCGAAACCTTACGAGCCGAGAAGCCGGAAGCTTAGGCCCCCAAGCGAATAGGCCTCGGACCATATCACCATTTTCGGCCTGAGCTCTATCATATGGAGAGGGAGAAGCTAAATGCAGTGAAAAAAGTTTTGACAACGGACCAGACCGCTCATTTTCGGCAACTCATTGTCGATAAACTGGTGGAACTTGAGCCCCAACTCCTCGCATGCTACGACGAGTTCTTGGATATTAATGGCCATACATTAGCATGGATATGGGCAATTGATGGTTTGTTCTTGTATCATCATTTAGGTGTTCCAGTAAATTGATGGAGAACCGGCTAAATCAGTTTGAACACAGACCTGTCCATCTGCTGGATTATATGTACCATTTAATTGTAAATTATCGGAAACATGTGGTAGAGTCTTCTTCATTGATCATATCCGTAAAAACTGACTGTTGATTTTTTGGGGAACACAGAAAACATGCTACAACTCTGCAGTTCTTTAGGAATTGGAGGACCTGCTGTACAAGCACTTCAGAAACATATACAGTTCATACAAGCATTGCCATGGGAGAACATTCGATCTCTATTTCAAAAAATTGATATTGATGGAAATCAAAATCCAGTAGAAGACATCGAGATTCCTTCGGTGTCAAGCCTACAAAAAACTGTGGGAATCAGGTTCACCATCACAGAATTGGGAATCAGGGGCATCAAATTCGATGAAAAAACACTTACTTGACACCTCCCTGTAATCACTCTGAATGATAACTCAGAAGTTATATTAAGAAACTTGGTGGCTTATGAAGCTTTGTCTATGCCAGTTGGGTCTACCCTTGAGCTTGCAGAATATGTCGATTTGATGTGTGGGATTGTTGATACAGTGGAGGACGTGAAGATCCTCCGGGAAGAGAGAATCATTGGTGGCGATCTTTCTGATGATCAAATTGCAGATATTTTTCACGGGATAAAAAAATCCACTAGCATGAATAGGAAATCTAAACTGACGAGAGCTATTGATGAAGTTAATAGGCAACACGAAAATAGGACAAGGATGAAGGCATGTAGATTCATCATGAAATATTTGAATTCCTCGTGGAATTTTGTCCAAACTTCATGGAAGGTTTTATCACTTTCTTCTATCATCGTCGCAATCTTGCTGCAGACTTTGCAGGCGTTCTGTGAGATCTATGGATGTAGCAACCGTTGGGTTGGGAAAAGCAAAGGAAAAAATCTTAATTTTCCTGGTATGTCGTCTTTTGTTATGTAATACTAGCAGTAAGTTGGCCTAAATACACTAGGTAGCACAAATAATTCTATCATCAGTGGTGTATTATAAATATATAAAATAAAAATTAATTTTTCCTTCTTGTTCTACAATTGCACAATTCAAAATCAATCTTGTCCTATTATTTTTAAAAAAAAATTGGGAGAGATTTTCTTTTTGTCTTAGTGTGAAAATGTATGGGAAAAGTGGAATTTTCAACTTTTGAGGAAATTTGACATTTATTAAAGTAAAAAAGTATGGGCTGATTTTAAGAGAAACTTTTTGGTGATAATTTTGAATTATTGGATTTAAGTGAATTTCATTAAAGAATTTAAAATAGATCTTGTTTTGTTATATAGATTTTTTTATTCCCTCCAATATTTTGTTCCACTTCCTAACCGTTCTTGCTTCAAGGTCTTTAGGATATCAAAATATGTCTACAATACATATAATTTCCAATAAAATTAATGAAGTAAAGGAAAAGAAAGACCTGTACCAAATATCAAACAAACTGAGAGTATAAAATTCACAATGACAAATAAAATTTCAATCACTTTACAATAAAATTCACAATCTGACAATTTCAAATTCTCTAATGTTCCACTTGGTATGATAAAAAAAATGGGAAGATGGAAAATTGGATAGATAAATAAAACATCATGTTTGATAAAGAAGAAAAATAAAAAGGATGAAAGAATGGATGAATTAACTTTTCTTCCGACTCACCAAAATCAATCCCTCTAAAATTGAATGAAAAATTAATTATTTATGTTAAAATATGTTTTATTTGTTTATATATCATTTTATATATACATATATATTATGTATCTATTAATTTCATATAAAAATACAATAGTAAAATATATATATATATATATATATATATATATATATATAACATAAAAATTTTAAATTTTAAATTAAAAAAAAATATATTTTTTCCGGGTAAATTTTTGACCCAATACGATGATACGACTCAAACTCAATACGAAAATAAATAGACAACTCACAACTCGGCACGACACAATTAGATAAATGAATTAAGTTAAATTTAACTAATATTCAACACAAACTCGTAATGACTCCATGTGAATTTGATACGAGAGTCGGCGCAAAAAAAAATCGTCATTCACCCAAAAACAAAGGAAATCTTTTCAACCAAACGGAGTATAAATCAAAGTTGGTAGAGAAATTAATTGGAAGCCTCAATCCACGATCTCACAATTTCAATTCAGAGAGAAAGATAGAGGGGGAGAGAAGAATTACATTTGTGAGAGACAGAGAGTGACAGTGGGGAGAATCTTCAATGGAGTGTGTGTGTGTGTGAGAGAGAGAGAGAGAGAGAGGTTTATTATAGTATTACACACTTACCTTACGTTACAGAAGCAAGGAAAGGGAGGAGAGGAGAGTCAGAATCCACCGATTGAAGGCTGAAGCTGTTGAAGCAGCTCTTGCTCGTCGCCTGAGTATGAGGGACTAAGTGAGACAGATCAAGTTGAGTGGTTGCCTCCCTGAGATGATGTTCTTCGCCGGAGTGTGGCCACTGAACTGAGGGAGTGAGGGTGAAGTGCGACTGCCTGAGAGTGCGAAGTGAGAACTGAGAAGTGTTCTGTTTTGTGCGATTCAGCGATTGATTTAGGGCAAAATGTCCAAATAGATGATTTTTTTTTCATATGTAAGTAGCGGTGATCATGAAATTACGATATTTCATCTTTTTTACGGTACTTAAAAGAAGAATATTTTTTTGAGCTATCATATACTATTAAGTGTACGACTCCTATCTAAATTCCGTCCACGTCAATCGGAAGGAAAGTTCGATGAAAAATTGAGTGAATATATATTTTTTATTTATTAATTTTGAAATTATTTTAACAATTTAATCAAATAATACGTACCAATTAACTAACACAATAAATCAATAATACTAAAAAAAACATAATAAATTTAATAATACATAAACAATTACAAGAAAAACATAATAAGAAGCCATAAATATCAATAAAATATTAAAATTTCTAGATTTTATATATTTATATGGTAGGGTAGAATAAGAACACGAAAATTTTGTAAAAATTCTATGTTTTTATCCTATTTTTTACAAAATATCAAAAAAAAATTTGAGTTGGCCTACCCAATTCTTTCGGGTAGTCAATCAATGGAACTGAGTAGGGTAGGATAGAATATGATTAAAATTTATGAGTAATTAGAAATTTGAACACCCTTATATATAAGCATTGATTTTTCAACCGTCCAATTTGAAAAACCTGTTCGGTTCACGATTTTGGTTCAAAATCGATCAATTTAATAATACTAAGTCAGTTCTCTTTCTTATGTGGTCTAATTAAAAAATCGGACCAGTCTAAATCCAGAGTAATAATTAAACTGGTCCGATCAATTTGATTCAATCCGATCCGATTCCAATAAGACTGCTTACGAACTTCATATCGGCAACAAAGAAAGCTTTGAAAAGTCTGAATTTCATCCCATGGAACCAACGTTTTTTAAGTTTGAATACAGGATAACAAGTTTTTGGTTTGAGTAGATGAAAAACGATAAGAGGCTTTCTATCGTTCTTTTTGGAGCCATTCTAGAAGTTTCGGTTAATTCTAAATAATTTAGGTCTTAAAAGGATAAATTATCAGTTGTTATGATCGACTAAGACCGATCTTGAAAAATTAGAATCAATACAGGAAAAGTGGGCATCACATCGCCATACACCTCTCTACAAAGCCAAAGTGCACTAACAAAATTTTTCATAAAGAGCTAATTCCATATGTTGAATTAGAAAAGTAAAAAAAATAGATCTGAAATTTTTTCCAAAAGATTGATTTATATTTAAAAAGGTAAAAAAAAAATATCAAACTCTAAAAATTCAAGCTTGGATCTGAAAATTATTGACTAAATTTAGTAAGAAACTAAATGAGATTGGTAATCAAACCCAATATGACCTTTCGTTTCATAGAGAGATGAGAGATAGAGTCGGAATGATTCAATAATAAGATTAATGTTACATAAACTTAACAATTAGACTTAAAAAAATAAATTTGATAATTACAACTATTGAATAAGTGGTGGGTCTCAATAAATATTGAGAGCCACAGTAAAATCAATAGTTATAATTATCAAGTTTATTTTTTAAATTCATATAACATTGCTCTAATAATAAACAATCAACACTGCGCTATGTGATCAAGGGAAGGGAGATCAATATAATGTCTAATCCCATGATTTGTGAGATTATTCATTACTTGAGAATGGGAATGGATTTTAATTCCTAATACCTAAACATTTAAATGGCATTACCAAAGAATTCATATTCTATTCCCAAACTTTATATTGCATACCAAACACACCGTAAGTGATTTTTGTTTCGGTTTGATTAGAATGAAGACCAGGTAGATTTGTAATTCTGATGACATATTATGTGGTAGATTTGGATGAGAAAAGGGGTTCTGATCTTCAGATTTGCAATAAACGAGTTATATGAAAATACGACTTAAAAAAAATAGGACATGACTCAATAAATAATTGGGTAAATTATATTGACATCCTCTTAGATTAGCCTAATTACAAAGATGCCCCCTTAAGTTTTTAAAATTATACTGACACCCTTTATTGTTACCTATCCATTTCACAAACTACTCCTGTGGTTAGTATCATTATTAATAATGTCAAAAAAGTGATTACAACATCAACTTTTAACACTTTAATACCCATATTATTCCTAAACAATATTAGACTAACATATTTATTTTTGTATCGTATTTATATTCGTATTTGTGTGTGTGTGTGTGTGTGTTTTTTTTTTATAACGTGGAATATCTCTAAGACAGGGCCACTTTGGACCCATCCGTACGAAAATAAAGTCGGGTACCTACAATCACCCTCAAACCTTAGGTATCGGTTCAGCCTGAGAGACACCAGCGAGAGTCGAACCCCCTAATATCCGCGTCTGCGGTTTGTATGGGTTTAACTCCATCTGGGCTACCTGTGCGAGTGTATTCATATTCGTGTTGACTTATATAAACTTTAAATAAAAAAATTTAACACTAATATTTAAGTTTAAAATTCTATTATCACTTAATTGAATCTATGCTCATATTTTTTTTATAAATTAAAAATTAACTTAATAAAAATATTAATAATAATGAGTAAAAATATCATTTTTGTACAATAATTATGTCAGTGCTTAATAAACAACAACAAATAATTAATATTTTATTTTTATAATACTAATTAAACATTTGTGATGTGCCAATTTCATATTGTTCGTATTAACATACAAACAAAATTATAGAAGAAGTTTGACACGATTAAATAAATGGGTTGATCTTGTCAATTTTAAGTTTGATGAATTGAATCCGAAAATAATACATTTATTAACATTTAAATATATGAAAGGATGATAAGTAAAAAAATAATATATGATGAGGGTAATTATGAAAATTATTTTTTGTTATATTTGTTAAGGGATGACAGTGTAATTTTAAAAAATAAAAAGAGTATTTTTATAATTAGACCAATCTATAGAGGGTGTCATTTTAATTTACCCTACATAATTTTATTTCTGCATGACACATATGTACCATTAAAACGAACGAAATCCGTCACTCTTGCAATTACGTCACAAGTCTAAGGAGTTTTAGTTAATGTTATCAGAATTAGACTGGACAATTTGATCAGACGAGGTGAATTATAAACTAGCATTTAGAACGTTCCAGTTCTTGAGTTAGTTAGACCACATAGGCATGGGAATCATCTTTGAACCATTAAATTAAAAAATTGATGAATCAAACAGATTCTAAAAATCGGATAATTAGAGTCTGACTCGCTCTTTATTTCAGCCTTCAAAGTTCAAGTCTTCCTTTTCAGACGACGAACATGCAACAGTTGAAGACTTTCTTCTCTCAATAGGCAACAATGACGAGATCCAAGCGAGAAATCTTGCGACGAATTTCTTCCTTCTCTAGACGACAACGACATCTTTTATATCTCTTTGTTAAGTCCTCTTTCCCTCCCTCTTTGTCTGCTGCACTTGCCTGTTAACTGTTAGTCATGAAATGTGTGCAGAACAAATGGCTCTTTCGCATTCTTCAAAGAAAAGTTCGATCATTTCTATCTTACTGGCTGGCATTAATTGTCATTTACTACTCTCTCTCTCTCTCTCTCTCTCTCTCTCTCTATCACACATACACACTTATTTTTAATTTAATGAAGTCCAGTCTGTCCAGAGCCATTTCTTCCTATTGTTTTCATATATTTCTTTTTGTTTATTGTTTTACTTTATTTATGCAACGTATAGTTTTGATTTGTTTGTGATAAATAGTAATCTTTTTTGTTTATGTTCTTTATTCTTTGAATCTTATGACCATATTATTTTTTTTAGTTAAATTATTATGTTTTATAATTTTTTTTATTATACGACCGGTACAACTAATTGACTTAACGGTTGAATCAATGAACAATTAATTCAATTCCTCTGTCGATTTGATGTCCAATATGATTGTAACTAGTAATTGCCCATGCCTGAAGGCACGGGATAACGAAAATTAAATTAAACTATGCGTAAAGACACTTTACTAACTAAAAAATTCATCAATTTGAAATAAATTTTTCTTCATTTATTTTAATTAAAAAAATTAACATCAATCAAGCTCCCGCTAAGAAAATCTCAACTTATTTACAGAGTTAATATATTTCATTGTATGTATCATTGTCGAATACAAGCTATTGCATAACCAATCAATCTCAACAAAAAATTACCCAAACAAACTTCATATCAATAAGATTGCTAACAACAACCACCACAATATTGTCTGATTGAGATCAACATCATTTGGATGTGAAGTCACAAAAAAACAATCCCAAGCATGCTTACATGTATACCCGAAAATCTAAAACGTATATCCTTTTGCTTTTCTCGTCAGTTGGAATCAACATAATTCAAAAAAAAATATATCCAATAGCAATGAACTCATGTTTGCAAGTAAAAAATAAGGCTCAAACCAATTACTAAACTTACCACATAACACACAATATAATTTCAACTACGATAACAATAAAATCATAAATATGAGCTACCATATTAAAAAGGGAAAATAATAATGAGAACCAACGTAATAAAAAACCAACTCAATCACCATCTACCATATTATAGTTCTAAGAAATTAAAAGCTTTAAACAAACACTTTTCAAAATAAAATATACACTTCCCGAAAAATTCAACCCGAAAACTAAGTGAAACACTATACACATGATGGAAATTCAATCCCAAAGCCGGATTTTTTTTTTTTCAAATTATTTACAAATCAAGTCTACAATGAAAAACCAAAAAGGTCACACTCGTTCCTATAGGCACCGTAACACAAAAATAAAAAGTCAACAATTGATGCATTAAGGAAAAAAATTACAATGAAAATAAAAAAAATTTCAAGGCCTCTAGCTCAAAATGTCCAACTGCTTGAGTTAATAATTGAAGTTTGTAACTAAAAGTGAGCATCGATACTTTGACCATCAAATCCAGAACCATACAATATAACATTTGAAGATTTTGCCTTAATAGCATTTCAATGATAACATCAAGATTTTTTTTTTTTGGACTGGGATAACACAAATTTAATAGGAAATTGAGACTACAAACAAAATCATTCATGTTAAGATACAATTAAAATAAAATTGGTTGCCACTCAAGACCAACATTTTTCACCTTAAATACATAGAACAATTAATATCAATCTATACTAATAAAACAAAGGCTTCCATGGATTTTTTAAACTGTGACAATTTTACAGTTAAAAATGTTTAAGTGAATTTTTTGGAAGTAGGAAAAACCCAACTCTCACCATTTTTTTTCTGGTAAAAGCAGTGCATCCATTGTCAACATGGGTCCAAATGCCTAAAATTAAATCCATCACCATGTAAATAACCCAATTTCATATTTATATGAAATTCACGAAGCCACCAAGCATATATCTGAAAAAACATAGCAAACATAGAAACCATTTGGCACTCATGCCTAAAAGCAACACTAATCTAAAAACCAACAAACAATTAAAATCATTTCAGGATATAATCATTATTAGAAAGAGAAATTACATAAAATTAAAACCTTCTATACTATTGTTTTTTCTCTAAAATGTATTGCTTGTATTCTAAAATCTCATAGAAGTTCAACGTCTATTAACAAGTTATTGCTTGTATTCTCTATACGTGGCATAAAGGTCTATTAACAAAAGTTCAACGTCAACTGTCACATGACAGTGTTAAAGATAAATCTATAAAAGCTTATAACCGAGTTAAACCCATGAAACTCAAATTAATCTAACTTAAGTTGTCCTATAAAAACCATGTCGAATGTAAAAATCATTAAAGCAACTCACAAATTACGTGGATAACACCAAATTTACCAGAAATCCAAAAAAAAAAAAAATACCAAATTCACAACAATCAGTACAAAACTCAAACAACAAATTCACTGAGACAACACCAAATTCATAAAATAGAACAAAAAATAAACAAAATCCAAAGCATGTAAACCCAAAATAATATTTCCCTACACCCAAAACAAAAATAAATTGATTCATCTGTAATCCTCAATCTTGTACTGGCTGTCGAACGGATTTTTCCAGTAATTCTTTTCATTAACAACTAATCAAGGAAAACCTCCACAGTTTTAGATAGAATAAGTGCAAATAGCCCAAAAAAGTCTAAATTGACGAAATCTAATGAAATAAAAAAAGTCCAATGATAGAAATGACAGCACTAGTGCTTATCAAAGTCTCACCAGGTGGCCTTACATAAGAGTCCATCTAGCACCATTTGAAAATCAAAGTTTTTTTGCTCAAGTGTTCATCAAACAATGGTTGTGTTATATAAAGCACATAATCGAGATTTAATGAGCTACACCCATTTGAAAATCAGGCTTCTTATTTTAAACAATTAAACTACACTCATTTAAACAATGAAACCAAACCGAGATCTAATGAGCCCATCCACAAAGAAGGTCATGGTTACTATGTGAAGAGACCAAATACTTGTAACCATGACCGTATCAAACATTTTCAAGAAGCATTCTGGGGGAGAGGGGAAGCAACTCTTTTTGCACTAACAACACACAATAAACCTCAGACGAAAAAATATCAAGCCAATCACGTACCCCCAATGCCACTCATGGAGCATCCAACATATGTAATTATCAACACTAATCCAAAACCCCAAACTGTATGGCTGCCACATGGAGTATCCCAACTCATACCCAATTGCATGTAATAAGGTTTCTGATATTTTACATTCATTGGAATTATGAACAACCAGGTAAATTAAACATATTTAGAAAAAAAATTAACAAATTGTTCAATCATCCCGAATTGTTCCTGTTTTACCAAATTACAGTTCCAACAAACCATCCCATAACTCATAAGCCATAACAACATAATCAAATCCATAGCACTCAAATTTACCAGAAAGGAAGAAGAAAACAGGAACAATTTTCTACACATTCACAATCAAAGGGTCCTCCAAAAAAATAAGAGGGTGTGTTTGTATTGTAAATTATAAGAGCGTGTGTTTGAATTGTATCTTAAAAAATAATATGGTAGAGGTACAAAAGTCATTCCACACCAACAGATCACCAACAATACCACTTCCTTTGCCAATCACTAACATAGTGTGTATAGATATATAAACATGCAGATCTTTGTTTAGATCTAAAGTTATACACAAATCTAGTTACTTTGGAGATCTTCGACAATGCTGAATCCAAAGAGGACGAAATTTTATATGTATATGAAAACAGAGGACAAAGCTTGACGCTAGGTTTGAAGAGGACGAAACTCGATCTTTAATGATGCTGGATTCGAAAAGGACAAAGTTCAAAAAATGGGTGAAAATGCTTCCGACGAAGCTTACTGTTCATACTTCATAAAGGAGCTGTGTTTATCGTGTTTTAAAATTTTTTGAGGATCTTGTTTGAGTAAAAACATGCATACGATGATCTCAAAAAAAAATTGAAAATAATTTTCAAAAAATAGCAGTCCAAATAATATTTTTGTGTTTTCTTGACATTAGGTTCATTTTAACCGAACAATCCGAATAATTTTCAAAAAACAGCAATCCGAACAATGTTCAAAAAATTGCAACTTTTAACCAAACAATCAAACAAACGCATATTTTTAACCGAATACCACAAACCCGCAAAAAATCTGGTATTGTGTATGATGTATCCCATATTGTTCGGTTAACCGAATACCTCAACACAATGGAGTATCCCATACAGTTCGGTTAAAAATAAACTAAAAATCTGAAGGCACCAACGATATACCACAAACCCACAAAAAAACATTGGTGAAAGTGTGTGATGGACAATCGATGAAAGGGGAAGAGGGAGGTACCTGGGCTGAGCTGTCTTCTGCCATGTGCATGCGAGAAGGCAAAGCGACTGAAAGGAGAAGAGAACTTAGCTGTAGGACAACGATCTGTGTGATGGACAATGTCTGTGATGGACAAAATCGGTGGTTGCTGTGAAGGATGATCTCTTCGAGCAATGGGATCTGTGTAAGGGGTCCGGGTAGCCGGGGTCTGTCGCCGCTGTGTTCAGCCATGAGCCATGGCAGAGGAGTGAGAGGTGACAGGTGAGCAGAGAGTAGCCGTGTAAGGGTTTGGGTAGAGTGCAGGGGTGAGTAGTGTATATGGGTTGGATTTTATTTGGGCGGGATTTTTTTTTTTTTTTGGTGTGGGATGGAACGTGGGTCATTATATCCGACGGAAAGAATTAGATAAAATTTAGGCTGTTGAATTAAATTTAAAATGAATTTGAGTTGTCTTACTGGTTTTTTAAAAATATTTAAATTAAATTAAATTTTATAGTCGAAAAAGATTCAAACGAGGAAGAACTTCGAAAAAGAGCTCAAGATTGACATCTATGGCCATTCACCTTGCATCTCTCGAGTGCCCGAAACCTTAAGAGCCGAGAAGCTAGAGGCTTATGCTCCCAAGCGAATAGGCCTGGGACCGTATCACCATTTTCGCCTCGACCTCTATCAGATGGAGAGGAAAAAGCTTGTTGCAGCCGAAAAAGTTCTGAAGCCGGACCAGATTGTCAACTTCCAGCAACTCGTCGTCAATAAACTGGTGGAGCTTGAGCCCACCGTCCGGGCATGCTACGGCGACTACTTGGATCTTGATGGCGATACATTAGCATGGATTTGGGCAATTGACGGTTTGTTCCTGCACTATTATTTGGGTTATTGGAACCCCAGTTTTGATTCTTCAGGTATGAAATTGACACAGGCTATATATATATATATACACACACACATATACATGCATTATACAATATTACCACTTTTGTTTATGTTTTTATAGCTTTAAAACGCCTAGTACAAATTTATACTTGTGCAGTGTGCACCACTCGACTTACGCTTTACAAAGTAATTTGAAATTAAGTCATCACCATTCACCAGGTGGTTTGTACGAGTATACACTTATGTATCTTTCTATTTACACTTTACAAAGTGACGTGAATTAAGTCATCACAATCCACCCCCGTTAAGTCCAGACATCCAGGTTTGGTTCCTACTGAAGGAACCAGAAGCCTTATTCCAATTTTTTGCCGGAAAAGTATCATCGCCGAAAATTTTTCTGTCGGAGTTTTTCCAGGCGAATTTTTTGGGAGCCCTCCGTTTTTTTTTTCGGCTTAGAGCTTAATGAAAGCTAAAATCATTCCAAAATAATGAGGAAGAAACAAAGAGAGAGATCTCGGAGAGGTCTTGAGAGTTTTCTTGTGAAAAATTCTTGAATTTGGGGAATAGTTGCACAACCAGTTGCTCTCCACCAGTTGCAGAAACTGTGGATGTTCGGCCCACATATCCAAAATTTTAAAGTATGAGATTCTTCATGGAGCTGCCATCTTAGAAACCTTAATAATCAGAGGGCAGTGATCAGATGTACCTTTTCCAGCATGTTCCACTACTGTGCTCTCAACACAACTCCCCCTCTGCACATTAACAAGTGCCCTATCAATCCGCTGAGACATTCGAGTTCTTCCTTGGTGATTGTTACTCCATGCGAAGGCTGAACCCGTAAAACCACAATCCTGCATACCCACCGAATTAATAGAGGAAATGAACTCATTCATGATTGAAAGACTAGGGACTGAGCCTCCCTTCCTCTCAGATGAAGAGACTGTTGTATTAAAATCCCCCACAATCATCCATGGCGCTGAGAAACCTTGCAGACTTGCTAAATGCAACCACAGTAGCCTTCTCAAAAGGTGGTCACTCTTAGCATAAACAAACGAAACATAAAATGATGGAGTTCCCAGGAAAGAGACTTCTACTGTAAGGGCTTGCTCATGAATAGCAAAAACAGTCACTGTAACCATATGATCCCACAGTAGCCAAATGTGCTTTTCTGCCAATGGGTTAGCCATAGATGAGGAGAAACCTAAACTACCAAATAAATTAAGTAGCTTAGCAGGATTCAGCTTTGGCACCAGCAATGGAACCAAACAAACATCGTTGATTTTAATCAATCTCTCGAGTGTCAAGACTCTCAACCTAGAGGCTTCCTTCTTTGCACCCCTCACATTCCACGAGATTAAATTAATAATTGACTAGTATGGGAAGCGGAGAGGAATCTAGATTTTGATCTAGTTATCATACCAGTCTGGGCAGTTCTCTCAAGCAGTTCAACTGCTTCTGTACACGTTCCAGTTTCAGAGACTGGAGATGCTGCCTCTATAACTTCCATACTTGACGAATTCTTCATATCAGAATGGTAGCCTTTGTTTGGAGGTTCATTCATGTTATAGTATGTGTGGCTCATATTTGCTGTTTGCATAATAGCAAGGAGGCAGATGCCGAAGCGGAGCCCGTGACGGCATCTGCCTTGTGGAATTTATATAAAGGGGACGCTGATTAGTTGGGGGTGCGGGGGCAACGCCCCGCGGTACGGTACAGGGGTATTTTTGTAAATATGTCCATATTAGGGTTATATAAATACTTAAGATGTAACCCTATTTTAATAATGGAAAAGAACGGCCGCTCGCTCTCGTGAATGTAGGCACATTGCCGAACCACGTAAATCTCTGTGTGTTATTTTCTCCTGCTTTCTTAATTGTTTGATTCCTTACTATTCACCATAATTGCTGCACGATCACAACAATTCACACATCTCAAACCACGATCATCATCATCAAACGCCACATTACTGACTTTCCAGCAGACATAATTGTGATCTATTAAAAAGGTAGATAAAGATTCAGCTGTAATAGAGCACTGCTTATTTAATTGGCGTCACCCCTCTTCAGAATTTGCCCTCATACTTTCCTCTCCACTTCTTTCCTTAATCCCAACTAGCAGGGATTCCAAAACACCAGCTTCCTCCTTAATCATACATGTATCACCATCCTTTCTCATACATGTATCACCATCAACATTTTCATTAGGAATTCCCGCAACATTTCCATCAGGAGAGTACTGATCCATATCACCTTGTGGCAGCCGACTGATATGCTCTTTTGAAACTTGGGGCTCATCCAATTGCATGTCATGCCCGTTATCTAACTCGTTGAATTTTAGGTTTGTGAGATTTTTCCTTATCCCGATTCTCCAGACACTTTGAAACACCTTGCTGCTTGTGCTGTGCCATACCAATATGATTTGAATTCGGAAATTTTGGAACTTCATTGGAACACATTCACCACCAGAGCCAAATTTGGATTGGATCCCAATTGATTCTCAGAATCTCTCTGCTGCACACTTTTCTTTGGCGGAATATCCTCTTCATTCTGCTCCACGTTATCTTTGCCCGAATGATCTCCTTTTTCTAACCTTGTTGGGAATTATTCCTTCTCCATATCCCTCACTGTAATGACAGATTTTACTCCTTTTCCAAATGCGATTGTTGTTTCCTTAACTGGATTATTTACTTGCCTAAGCTGCTGCTGCTGTTTCCATACTCTTGTCGACTGCTGTGCTGGCTTTGGGTGCTTTGATTGCGGCTGGGATTTTCCATGATCTTGAGTTTCCTTAGTTAGCTTCCCTAAGTTTGCATTTTGCAGTATCTCCTTCCCCTTAATCTGCTCCTTACTTACCTTTGCAGAATTATTTGCTTCCAAATCTGGACTCTTTCCTTGACCATCTTCCCCCATAGGCGAGACTTTCCTTTTCTTGCACGTTTCTTCTCCATGGCTCTGTTTCTTGCAGCTCTTGCAGAATTGCTTCCTTCTTTCATTGACTATCTTTTGCCATCTTGCTCCTTCTTCTCCCATATCAAGCCAGATCCTATTCGGATTATTCAGCAAGAGATTGACCTCTGCACAAACTATTGCTACCCCTGGTTTTGTTAAAGAGAGAGTAGCCTGGTCATAGGCTAAGACCCTTCCAATAGGCTTGACCAAGAGTTCTAAATAAGGCTTTTTGAAAAAATTCGAAGGCAAACCAGGCAATGAGATTCATAAAGGCACGATGGAGGGTCCATTGCCTGGGCCTGAGAACGATTTAAAGAATCTGAATAAATAGTCTTCTATCAAAATGGCATTCTTGAGCCATGTCTTCACATAATCTTCGTGCAGTTCAAACCTTAGAAGCACATGTCTTTGATCAAATAGATCTAACTTCAAAATGACCTTTTAGACTCCATTTGGACCTTTGTATCTCCTCGTTTGTGAAGTAGAAGGCTGGTTTTCCTTGGTAAAATACCACCGGTTTGTCAATTTTTTCTGGTAATGATCTATCAATGGGCTGTGTAGATGGATTGTGAATAAAGAAGCATAGGTTTGGGGTGTTTTAGTGGGTATATCTGGTGGTTTTGGTGGGATTTGGAGTTGTGTTTGTGAAGAACTCATGAATGGAAGAAAATTCTAGAGGTTTTTCTAACCTTGCAAAAACATTTCAATGATGCATTATTGTTGAGTCATTCCAAAATAGTGAGGAAGAAACAAAGAGAGAGAGATCCCGGAGAGGTCTTGAGAGTTTTCTTGCGAAAAATTCTTGTATTTATTTCCTTAGAGAGAAATAAAATATTCCACTTTGTTTATATTGTGTTAGATGTGATTTTCTGGCCTTGGGTCACCAATACCTACCCGACTTGAGTAGTGGTATTCCAGAGGATGACGATCTTTATGGCTATATTTTCAGCATGGATATTGCCGATTGATGGTTTGATCTTGCCATCAATATCCTTATACTTAACAACCAAATACTTTATAGTGCAGGTATGAAGTTGGCACAAGATATATTCATGCTGGAGAACCAAATTCCGCTTATTCTGTTAGAAGAAATCCAGAAAGCTATCCAAGCCGAACCCACTTGTGCTAATGACAAAGGGAAAATACCGTTGTTACTTTCCGATTATGTCAAAAAATGGTCAGTTTTCGATGATGCTCAAGTCATTTATAATTTCTGCAAGGCACACTCTCCGCTTAAATTGATGGAGTTCAGGTTATATGGGTTTGAACACAAACTTGTTCATCTGCTGGATTTTATGTACCATTTAATTGTTAACTGTCGGAAACCTGTGGTAGAGCCTCCGCCTCCAATTATCATGTCTGCTTCTGTTGATTTTTTGGGGAACACACAAAAAATTCTGCAAATCTCCAGTTCTTTAGGTATTGGAGGTCCTGCTGTACAAGCAATTCAGAAGCATATCCAGTTCGTACAAGCATTGCCATGGGAGAACATTCGTTCTCTATTTCAAAAAACCGATATTGACGGAAATCAAAGTCCAGTTGACGAGATCGAGATTCCTTCAGTGTCGAGCCTTCAAAATATTGTTGGAATGAAGTTCAGCATCACAGAAGGGGGCATCAGGGGCATCGAATTCGACGAGAAAACACTTACTTTCCACCTCCCTGTAATAACTCTGGATGATAATTCGGAAGTTATATTAAGAAACTTGGTGGCTTATGAAGCTTTGTCCATGTCAGTTGGGTCTACCCTTATGCTTGCAGAATACGTTGATTTGATGTGTGCGATTATAGATACTGCAGAGGACGTGAAGATCCTCCAGGAACAGGGAATCATCGTCATCAAAGACGGTCGGTCTCATTATCAAATTACGATATTTTTAGCGGGATAAAAAAATCCACTGGCGTGAATAAGAAATCTAAACTGGAGAGAGCTGTTGACGACGTTAATAAGCAATACGAAAATAAGCCAAGGGTGAAAGCACGAACATTCGTCAAGAAATGTTTGGATTCATCGTGGAAGTTTGTCCAAGCATCTGGAAGGTTTTATCATTTTTTTCTGTCATCTTCCTAATCTTGCTGCTGACTTTGCAGGCATTCTGCGATATCTATGGCTGTAGCAACCGTTGGTTTGGGAAAACCAAAGCGAAGAATCTTGGTTTTGCAGATGTGCCATCTTTTGTTATGTAATATTTGGAGAAGAACTTATCATCGTTGAGGTTCGAAACACCCTAATTTTTACCTTCAATCAAATGCACTTTTGAAGGAAAAGCACTACAGTCGAATTTTCCCTCAGTTTTGACATGTTGCATACATACGAATGCGAATACTCAATATTTTATATAAAATTTTGACCAATTAGATTTTGACAAATCTGACATTAACCCTAAATTCAATATTTTAATATATTTCAAAAAAAATATAAAATTTTATAAAATCAATTTGACAATTATAAAAATTTTGATTAATTTGAATCAGAACAGTGAAACCTATGCCATAAATCCGTGAGTCTCAAAAAAAAGTTTTTAGAAATATGTATTAAATATAAGGGTGTCAAAATATCACACAATCCATTAACACGACACGAAAATAAAGGGTTTGAATCTTTTTTAAGTCACCTGTTCAGTAAACAAGTGGATCCGACACGAGACGATTAATAAGGTATGGATAAAACCAATCAGAAGAAATATACGTCACGACTTGTTTATATATATCAGTTATACACGGTTCATACACAGTATGAACTCGATATGATATAAGTCATTAAACATGAATTAATAAACGAATCGAATATAGGTAAAATATTTTTTGATACGAACATGCCTCATTCAACACGATTGAGAGAGCTAATTAAACACCTATAAACCCTTGAGCCCATATCATCTCAGATCCAAGTATCCTTTTCAAACATATGATCCAATAACCCATTATCTAGTTGGGCCAACTGCACTGTTGAGCTTCTACAAGAATTTGGAGTTTCTCACCCTTCTGGAGCTAATCACATATGACGACCGGTCCACCAAGTCCAAATATAGGGTCACTGTCGAGCTTAAACAAAATTGAGAGTCAGGACTTCTCATTTCATTTGGGTTTCATGCGGATAGATATAGAGGTATAGAAAGGTAATTTTGAAATTTTTGAGGATTTTTTTATCATGTCAGTCACTTTTTCCATTGTTAACCATAGGGGGTAACCGAAGTGATTGTACAGACAAGGAGGCGTGCGGTAAATTTTTAGAGGGGCTAATGTCTGACTTAAATTTCGAAACATCACTCGAATTTTAATTTATATCTTTAAAATTTAAAAATATTAATTTATACCTTAAAAAATATAAATACGTATTAATGTGCACTTGAAACTAACGATCATTTATTTTGCCGCTATAAAAATTTAAGTTAATTATAAATTACACATCTCAAAATTTAAATATTTCACATTTATGTTCCAAAAAGAATGCTATTCATTAATGTTCGTTAAATATCTCTCAATTGTATCGTATCATAAATTTTTTGTGTCATGTTTGAGTCAATAAAAAAATATTTTTAACACAAAAAATATTTTCATATCGAATCAATTGTGTTGTATCATATATTGAAAATTATGAAAATTCTTATTATACTATTTAATATTTTTAATAGTTAAAAAATATCTATTTTTTATCTATAATATCCGTTAAATAACTATTTTTTATCTATAGTTGTGTTATTTGTATTTAACTTTAATTTGATCAGACAATCAAAAGATTTGTGTTTAACTGTAAACAGAAAATAATTATTTAATGAGTATTATAGGCAAAATATAGGTATTTTATAACTTATTTAAAATTTTGAAAAATATTTTTTTATTGACTTAAATACCACACGAAAATGTTGTGTTACGATACAATTAAGAGTTATTTAACGAACATTAATAGATAGAATTCTTTTTGAATTATAAATATGAAAAATTTAAACTTTGAGGGGTACAATTTATAATTATCACAAATGTTTTTAATGGCAAAATGGACGGAGATAACCCCAGGTGCATCTTTCAGAGTATAAATTAATATTTTTAAATTTTAAGTGTGCAAATTAAGATTTGAATAATCTTTTGGAGAACAAGTTGAGATTAACCCTTTTTACAATATATTGAGGATATCTCTGAATATATGACTAATTATCGAGGGAGTGAATGACATTTTTCTAAATTTACGCCTTGTGTCTTTGATGTGCCCAAAAACTTGCTGGCAGAGAAGGCAGAAGCTTTATACTCCCAGAATTGGCCTGGGACCATATCACCATTTTCGCCCCGACCTCTATCACCTGGAGAGGGCCAAGCTAGCTGCAGCAAAAAATGTCCAAAAGTCATACCACATCGTCCAATTCCTACAAATCCTGATCAATAAACTGGGGGATGTTGAGCCCAAACTACGCGCATTCCACGACAAGTTCTTGCATCTTGATGGCGAAACATTAGCATTGATATGGGTAATTGATGCTCTGTTCTTCTATCATCATTTGCTTACTCACAAGTATAACCACGTTAATGTTGATTCTTCTTCAGATTAGAAATTGGCACAGGATATATTCATATGATGGAGAACCAAATTCCTCTTATTCTGTTATTAGAAATCTCCAATGTTATCTTACTCCAACTCATTAATGCTAATGACAAAACATTATTGTCAGATCCCGACGAGGACGCCGATGAAACATTGTCAGATTCCGATATTAATCTACGTGATTTCTTCGAGGCACACTCGCCGTTCAAATGGAGAGAGAATGAGTTGGGTGGGTTTGTACACAAACCTGTTCATCCGCTGCATTGTTTGCACCATTTAATTGTGAACCTGTTCAAAGCTTCAAAAATTGCTGGAGTGATGTTCGCCACCACAAAAGGGGGCATCAAGGATGTCAAATTCGACGGAAAAACATGCACTTTACAACTCCTTGAAATTACTCTGAATAATAATTCACAATTTATAGTAAGAAATTTAGATGGTTCTACCCTTGAAGTCGCAGAATAAATCGATTTGATATATGAGACAATAGATACCACAGAGAACGTGGAGATCCTCCGAGGATAGAAAATCATCATCAGTGATGGCAATCTGTCTCATGATCAAATTACAGATATGTTTAAGAGAAATATTTAGATTCGTCGTGGAAATTTGTTCAACCGTCGTATAAAGTCTTGTAGTTCTTTTCTACCCTTATCATAATCTTGGTGCTGTCTTTTCAGGCTTTCTGTGATGTCTATAAATGCACCAAACTTAGATTTTGGGATGCAAAATCGTTGCTTGGTTTTGTAGACTGTGTTGTCTTCTGTTATGTTATATTAAAATTAAAATTCATAAAATGTTATTTAAGATTAATTATTGATGAGCTCGAATTTGACTGAGTTAAGCCCAATCTAAATAAATCGAGAAAGCCCAAAGAAAAGTCCAACCAAAGCCGGATCAACTCAGGAGTCCAAATCACAGGAGCTGCTCGTAAACTAACAAGGAATCCAGTGGAGCCTAAGCCAAAGGGCCAACATCCAAGAGGCGCACGTCCAAGAGTATCCCAAGGGGGCACCGCCCATATGGTCGCCAAGTGGGCATCGCCCATGGCCTGCCCTCTTGTTCCTCTTCTGCCTTTTTCACTCCAATGCAAGTCCAAGTCCAGCCTACTCTAAGTGCAAGCTCAAGATCAGAGTCATCCTCCGACGAAATAGGATAACGAGGAGAGAATATCGGAATACGCTCGGAGATCTAATCCTACCATAACTATACTTGCCAAAATGGTAGAAATCATCTCCCTCACGTCACCGTCTCACCGCCTTATTAAGCCTATATAATGTAAGTCCTCTCTACATAAAGGGCATATCCTTATGACCTTAAGATCTTGACATGACCTTGAGACCTCTACAAGATTCCTACACACACTACACCTTCTTACACACATTTCTTTCTCTCTCTCTCCAAAACATTGTAATACTCTCGGAGTTACTCTCCTGGTGATATTATTCATCAATAAAGATCTCCGACCACCGCTGTCATTCCCGAGAGTAGAGTAGGTCACCCAAAACGAATCACTAGAAATCTTTGTGTTGATTCCATATTTACTTTTTTGTCATTGATTGTCTATTTATTACTCATTTATTGCACCCTTACATATACTTGACTATTGATTTTGCGCAAAGTTGATTTGTGCATCATCAGTTTGGCGTCGTCTATGGGAAACGACTTATTTCCTAATTTCATTAAATCCATAGAAATCACTACCCAATCAATGAGCCAACAGCTAGAAGACAACAACCCAATCCATCGAGAAGAGGCTCTGCCTCCCCTTGCACTTGTAAAACCATCTGTTACTATTACTCCCGCCGCTGGACAGCAACAACAACTCCTCCAAACTATACAGTTGCTGGTGAGCCAGAATCAGCAAATCATTCAACTCATACTCTCTCACGGAGGCGTCGCCCCCTCCTTCGTAGGAGGAGTCCCACTCCCCCATCAGGAGAGGAGCAACTGTCTATCCTTTTTGGGCTTCAGGCAACCCCACACCATGAAGCCCCTCGCCAGAACACTCCAGGACCGGTGCCCCTCACCCAGTCCCTCATCAGCACGCAGAGTTCACGAGTGCCCCATCCTCATGAACCTATGCAAGAGAACGAAGATAGAGAAAGTAAATACGGAGACCATGAAAGCCAATTCCACCACCCAACGGAGGATGTCCCTAACCAGTGGGACGAGAAGATTAAAGAGGTACAAAACCAACTTGGCGATACCCCCAACACCATCAAGGCACAGGCGCCTGAAACCGTGGACTACTTGATAAGGCGCACCGATACCCCTTTCATTGCTGATATCGTTAACTACCCCCTATCCTCGAAGTTCAAGATGCCCACCATCGAGATCTTCAATGGCACCAAGGACCCCCTAGATCACCTAGATACCTACAAATCCCTCATGTAATTTCACAAAATGTCCTGAGGAGATAATGTGTAGAGTCTTTCCTACCACCTTAAAGGGGTCTGCTCGTTAGTGGTTCTCCAAGCTTAGGCCTTCCTCCATCCGCTCCTTCGCCGAGCTCAACAAGTCCAGTCACCCACCTGCTCACTATCAAGCAGGATAGGGATAAAAGTCTCAGAGACTACCTTGCTCACTTCAATGAGGAGGTGCTACAGATTGATGAGCCAGATGATAAGGTAGCCTTGACTGCCTTTATCGCTGGCTTTCGCACCTCCAATTTTATGTTCTCCATCCTCAAGAAGCCGCCCTCCAGCATGCCTAAGCTGCTGTGTAGGGCATAGAAATACATGAACGCCGTGGACGTCACCAAAGCCCGTAGAGGTGATTCCTCCCGAGGAGGAGAGAAGAGGAAAGACACCTGTGAGGACAGGTGAGAAGTAGAGAATAAAAGAAATAGGACAGAAAGAATCTCCGTCAAAGACCACCTTGGTCCCCCACCTTTAAAGAGCAGCAAGCCTTCACGCTGCTCAATGTTTCCATAAAGCATATTCTGCTCCAAATACAGGACGATGCTACAGTACGCTGGCCCAAGAAGATAAAACCACCCTGAACCAGAGGAGTCCGAACAAGTACTGCAGTTTTTCTATCGTGACCACGGCTATGATACTGACGACTGCTTCAATCTTAAAAGGCAAATTGAGAAGCTCATATAGTGTGGCCACTTGAGGCAATACGTTGCTGGCAAGGGACAAGCCCCACAACCTAGTCGAGACCAGAATGATAGAGAACACCAATAACCCCTCGGAGAAATCAAAACAATCACCTAAGGGCTAGGAGGAGTTGACTCGAACTCCGCCAAGAAAGCCTCGACCCACCTATGGGCGTCGAACACCAAAAGATTTTATCTATCCTTTATTGTTTCAGTTGATTTATTTTGTTATTTGTTATTTTATGGAATAAAATTCTACGAATATTATTGTGTCCAGAATTATTTTGTTTTCCTAAAAATTATAAATAGCTTACAAAAGTCAAAACATGACTTAACAACAAGGTGTAGACAAAAGGCGTCCACGACCCCAACACCAGGTGCCTAGACTAGGGGTCTCACCCTTTATATCTTAGGGGCCTCAATGCCGCCTAGACGACGGCTCTCGATGCCTCTCACCAAACGCCCAAGTCCTCAGCGCCCTCCTCATCTCCATCTCAATGGAATGAACCTCTGTCACGGCAACCACTTTCCAAGACTATATGTAACTCGCCCTATGACTTTGCTCTCACGCAAGTCATCTGGTAAGTCTCTGTCACGACAGCCACTTCTCAAGACTATACGTAGCTCAGCCTATGACTCTTCTTTTGCGCAAGTCACCTAGTAAGTCTCTGCTACGGCAACCACCTCCCGATACTATACGTAGCTCGGCCTATGACTCTGCTCTCGCGCAAGTCACCTAGTAAGATTTTGCCACGACAGCCATCACCCGAGTTATACGTAACTTGGCCTCAGACTTTGCTCTCGCGCAAGTTGTCTCCTTAAAAGTCTCTGTCATGGCAGCCATCCCCGAGACTATACGTAGTTCGGTCTCAGCTTATGCGTCCCTCCCACGGGACGCCCACAGCTCTAACCTTGCTCTTACGCAAACAGTATACCTCTTTCTCTAGGTAATCATGTTAGATATTTTAATGTTGATATAACATTGTCTTTTCCAGGCACACTACTGAAGCTCAGGTCATCTGCAGCCGAGCCACTATTAGAAGTAGAGTGAAGCCACAATCTCCGTAGAAATCACACTAGAGTCTCAACTTATGTAGCGGTACAAGGGCTAATTCTAGTACACAGTCTAGGAAGGAGTGGGGGCACCACCTGATCTTACTCCCGCGAAGCAACCTAGCCATCAGACCTTGACTGAGGAGCATTGGGGACATTAAACCTTGCCCTCTTGAGGGGAGGAAAAGACACCACCCTAAAAGCAAATAAAGTCCCCAGATCAACAGGGCGCTTATTTAGAGACAAGGTCAGTTAATGACCAAGCATCAGGGAGGTGCCGCTCATAACCAGACTTAAGGCGTTACCCAAACATAGCGCCCAAGGCCTTTGACGTTGCCCAAAAAAAAAAAAAAAGAAAAGGACGACGCCCAAACAGCCAAAGAAAAAAAAAGAGAAAGAAGGGAGTCAGTAAACCAAAAAAAAAAAAATGTTTTTCGATATCGGATAGTTCATCAAGTCCCCGAGGATGAAAGATACCGTGGGAACTAGAAAAATTCTGACTCACCCAGATGAAAACGTGTAACACCCCGTATTTTTTTTTATATATGTATATAGATATATAGTAAATAATTGTGATAAAAAAATGTGGATATATTTAGTGATGTGTGTTTGAAATTTGGTAGATTGGAAAAGTAGAGATTTAAAATGTTAGTGAAAATAGTAGTTGAAATTTGATTTAAAAAAGTGAAAATATGAAATTTTAGGTCCTAAAACTTGTATTAAATAGGTTTGGTGTAGAAATATGTGTTGGAGAGGTTTGTGATAGATTTGGTTGGCTTAGGAATGGATGGGAAATAGACAAGGGACGAAGACAGGCTATGAACAGTGCACTGCTGCAACTTCAAGCTCGATTTAGACCTTGATGCAGTCAATATCTCTCAAAACTCAAAACATGAAAGTTTCAGAGCTCTTTCGTATCATTCCATAGCATCTTGAATCATCTCAATCGGAGCTTAAATGAGAGAGTTATGCTCAGATAACGAAATGATGTCGAAATAGTCCAATTAGCTTCGTTTTGCATTTAATGTCTCCATTTGCATCCTAAATCAAAATATAAAAATAATGAGTACTTTTAGGCTTCAAATAAATATAAAAGGCTTTAAGAAACACCATTTATCACATTTTATTTGCAAACATCGCAAAATTTCATTAATAACCGATTCGGATGGGTAAAATAGAAATTTTAGTGTTTCGGGTGTACGTTGACTTGGGTGTTGAGATGAATCATAAAAACAAATGTTTTTAGGTTAAAATAACATTAAAAATGAATCCGAAACGTCGAAAAACCTTAGGGTAGTCATATGGATCA